CGTGAGGGTGAGCCTGCTGCTGGGCTCAACAATGGAGACGGTTTTCTTCTCAGTCTGCAGCAGATGCTGCCGGGAGCAGACAGAGGGTTGCGTTTGGCTCCCAGGACACGGTCGTGCCAGTGAACTAATGAGTCTCTTGGACCGTATGTCGCCCTGGCTCCGGGGAAGGCTCGGCTCTCCTCCCGTCAGTCAAGTGGCTGGACAATGGGCCGCTCGGATGGATCGGAGCCGGGAAAACGAGGTCATGCCGCCCCTCGCCCGGGCGGGAAACCTGGCTGACCAATGCTTTTCCAGCCTCGGCGAAACAAAAGCCGCCTGCCTAGTAGCGCGGGCTTGATTGTGTCGCCGGGGTGCTGTGCCCCCGTGGCCCGGGGGGCATGCTGTAGGTGAGGCGCGCCCCCCTCTGCCCGGCGCCCACAGAGTTATTATTATTATTTAAGGGTTATTTTTGAAGATGTAAAGGCTGGTCTATAAAAACAACGATGATGCGAGCTGCCTGTCGTGACACGCCTAGCTCACCCTCCTGGAAAGCGGGCTGCGGGGCACCTAGGTTTTTTTTTGGACACGCACCAAGAGTCTGTGCTCAGCACATCATCATTTGAACAAGTTGCTCCCTGCTGAATGAAGCGGCCTGCGACGAGAGGATGCAGTCTGCGCCGCCTCTCAGCAGGTGCTGCCACCTAGGCACCTTGGGAGGCTGGGGCTAACTCCACTTCGTGGGAAACTGACACAAAACAGATCCAAAGTGATGCCACGGTACTTTAAAATCTCCAGTCCATCGAATTTTTTGGAGGGAAAACGATCAGAACGCGGGGTGGGGTTGGGACTTGCTAGAAAAAAAACCCAAAATTTAAAAGTTCCCAAAGCCTGAAGCCTATCAAGAGGAAGATGTCGCAGTCGATCAGTAGGAATTGTAACTTTCTTCATCTGTCCCTCTCCCCACTTGCCCCTGCCGCACTTCCCCACCCCCCACCTGCCACTCCCCTCCACCTACCGCCCTGGCCACCTACTCCATCTGGGAAGAGACAACAATTGTTCATCACGCAAGTGAATCCACTGGGTTTAATCAGTAAAACGCAATCACTTAATAAACAATAAAAGAAGAGCATTCCATTACAATCTTACCAAGTTCTGATTTGCCTCCTGGTAGAATGAAGCGAATGAACTTTTTAGTCCTAACCATAAGAAATCGTCTTGCTTTCTCATTTCCTTCCTCCAGACAGGAGCTCCCGTTGTGGATGCAGCCGGTATCACTTAGCAGGCTTTGAGAGGCTTTCTTGGGTCATCTTTCGACTGTTGGTCTTCTGCAAATCTTATTTTGTTTTCCTCTGTTACTCCCAGAATGGCCTCCACATCTTCAACGATGGTCTGAAAACGAGCAATCACATGAGGATTCATTACTTAGAACATCTTAGAGCACTCTCCCCGCCCCACCCCCCACCAAGCATTTGCTTCTTTTTGGAACAAAGTATGATCTAGGCCAGTTCTAGGAATCCCTGGGTGGCAGACATAGCTAAGCATCGGATCACGAGCTGAAAGGTTGGTGGTTCAACTCTTTGGAGAGGCACGTTTGGATAATAAAGCTGCCTATCTGTTTCAGAGAGATCACTTGCTTGAAATCCATTCCAAATGTGTTCCTCTAAGCTGGAGACAGTCTATCAACTATTGGTCACCACTCGATGAAATAAATGAAGAGACTGTTGGCTAGAAATTGGAGAGTTATAAAAGGCAATTTTTATGCTGTTTGAATCTAATAATAATTTTTTAAAACCTAGCCTTTGGGGGTAAGCTTTTGATTCCCTCTTTTAAAAATTAAGTCATTTTTGTTGTCCTTTACACAAGTATGGAATCATGATGGATGGGGGTAGTGGAGAGAATGCAAACTAGTCCTTCACTGTCGGCAATTTGAGAAGCAGTGGTCTCCCCACACCACGCTCCATGCTGGTGACTGGCTCTTATTTCTGGTGAGCCGACAGCACAGAGCAGAACTGCTCTGCAGGGCTTCTGGTCTGTCAGTCAGTCCTTACAGGAGCTGATGGCTCATCTTTCTCCTGTGAGCAACCTACGATGAGGGCTGATACCCCACTCCATCGAGTCCAACTCACAGTGAACCTGGAAGACAGAGTAGAACGGTCTCTGTGGGTTTCGGGGAGACTCTAACTCTTTTCAGGAGCACAGAGCCTCATCTTTCACCTGCGGAGCGCTGGTGGTTTCAAACTGCTGACCTTGTGGTTTAGCAACCCAACGTGTAAACCAACTACGTGCCACCAGGGCTCCTAAAATGATGGCTTGTAAGAGTGCTTATTTCCACTGGTTTGTGGAGAGAAAAAGAATACTTTGCTACTGTGTTATAAATATAGTTTTATTGAGGTACAATTCATATAGTATACAATTCATCCCTATAAAGTTTACAACTCAGTGATTTTTAGTATCTGCACAAGCTACCGCCACCACATAATTCCAGAACATTTCCACCACCTCCGTGGAAACAGCTACTCACGAGCAGTCACTTCCCATCCGCCCCTCCCACCAGCGCCTGGTAATCACTAGTCTACTTACTGTCTGTTGCTATGGATTTGCCTATTCTGGGCAATTCATATAGATGGAATCATATCGTATGTAGCCTTTATGCCTGCCTTATTTAATCTGGCATAATGTTATCACCCAGATTGTAGCATGTCTCATAACTTCATTCATTTATAGGGCTGAATAATATTTCACTGATGAAATATTCACCATATTTGATCCATTCGTCAGCTGATGGGCATTTGAGTTATTTACCATTTGGGGGCTATTAAGAATAATATCTCTATGAGCATCCATTTGTGTGTGTGTGTGTGTGTGTGTGAATGTACATTTTCATTTCTCTAGGCATGGAATTACTGGGTCATATAGTAAGTCTATGTTTAACTTTTTGCCAGCCGATTACACAGCAGCTATACCATTTTACATTCTCATTAGCAATGTATGATGGTTCCAGTTTCTCGCCAGCTTTGTCAATACTTGTTATTGTCTAGTCTTTTGATTGTAGTCACTTTAGTGGGTGTTAAGGTGCCATAGTGGTTATGAGTTGGATTGCTAACCTCAGAGTCTATAGTTCTAAACTGCCATCTCCTCTAAGGGAGAAAGATGAGGTTTTCTACTAACGAAGTACGGTCTCAAACCTCACAGGGACAGTTCTACTCTGTCCGATAGTGTCGCTATGAGTCAGCATTGACTTGATGGCAGTGAATTTGTCTGTTTGTTTTTGAGAAGTAGTATTTCAAGAGCCCTTGTGGTACAATGGTTAAGCTCTTGGCTGCTAACCAACAGGTCAGTGGTTCAAACCTCCCATTTGTTCTGTGGGAGATAAATCTAGCAATTTGCTCCCATAAAGATTCCAGCCTAGGGATTTCCATGAGGCAGCTCTACTCTGTCCTACTGGGTTGCTGTGAATTGGAATCAACTTGGTGGCACCCAACAACAAGGTCTGTTCCATTGTGGTTTTGATTCTCATGTCCCCAATGATTAATAATGCTGAGAGTGTCTTACATTGGACAGTCATAAATCTTTTTTTGAGGACTGTCTAATGAAATATTGTGGTCATTTTTTAGTTGGGTTGTTGGCATTGGTATTGCTGAGTTGTAACAGTACTTTACACATGATGGAGACTGTGCCTCATCAGAAGCCTGGTTTGCAAAGAGTTTCTCCTGAGGGCTGTCTTTTTCACTTGCTTAAAAATGTCTTTTGATGTTTTGAGCCATTTTAAAGTTATTCTGGTTTTTAATATTTTCTTTTTAACCAGGATTTTTCTCTATTTTGTTTTGTTATTGTTGTTAGCTTTCTTGACTCTTTGTTTTTTGTGTTTGTATGTATTTTCAGTATAGGAAATCCAGGATGGGTGAATCCCTAGGCACAATAGCTGGATTAATGTTTTTTGGGATATGGTAGAGGGTTTGGGGGGAAATGGGGAGCTAATAACAAGGAGTACAACGAGAAGAAAATGTACTAAACTTGATTGTGGTCATGATTATACAACTCTTCTTGATATGATCGAACTATTGAATTATATGATATTTGGATTATATCGCAATAAACCTATTTATTTTTTTAAAAAAGGTCTTTTGATGTACAAACACTTTTAGTTTGGATAGCAACCATTTTTTCCTATGTTTTCTTTGGTTGTTTGTGCTCTCAATAGCTTATCTATACAGAGCTTAATCCAACATCATGAAGGTTTACATCCATGATTTGAGGGTTTCATAGTTTTATCCCTTCCATTAAGGTCTTTGGTCCACTTTGAGTTCATTTTTATGTGTGGTATGAGGTAAGGTTCAAGCTTCATTCTTTTACAAGTGGATAGTTGTCTCAGCACCATTTGTTAAAAAGTTGATTATTTCTCCATTTAATTGTCACCCTTGTGAAACACCAGTTGACTAAATTTATGAGTTAGTTCTAGACTTTCAGTTCTATTCCATTGATCTGTATGTCTACTACTATGCCAGTATCACACAGACTTGATTATCATAACTTTGCAGTAAAATTTTAAATCAAGGAGTGTGAGCCCTCCAACTCTATGCTTCCCTTTCAAAATTATTTGGACTATTTTGAGCCCTTGCAATTCCTTATGCATTTGGGAACTGACTTTGTAATTTTGCAAATACGGTCTTTGCATTTTTAATAAGGATTGCATTGAATGTTTAGATTATTTTGGATATTACTGCTATCTTAACAATATTAAGTTTTCAAACCTATCACAGGGACTGTCTCTTACTATTTTGGTGTTTTAAGATTACTTTAACAATGTTCAATAGTTTCCCGTGTATAAGCCTGTACTTCTTTGTACATTCAGCCTTACATATTTTACTCATTTTGGGTGCCATTGTCAATGAAATTGGTTTCTTCATTTCATTTTTGGTTTGTTCATTGTTAGTGTACAGAAATACAACTAATCATTGCATACTTGATTTGGTGATCTGCAGTTTTACTGAAATGATATAGGAATACATTTTTCATGGACTGCAGGATTTTCTCTATATAAAATTCTACCATCTAGTAATAGAGACAATAGTTTCACTTCTTTTCAAATCTAGTTGGCTTTTTCTTTCCTCTTTTTGCCTAATTGTCCTCGTTAGAACCCCTAGCACAACGTTGAATAAAAATGGCAAGAACAGATAGGCTGGATCTGAGAGGGGAAGCTTTCTGTCTTGTGTCGTTAAGTATGACGGTAGCTGTGGGGCTTCTGTATCGGTTGTCCTTATCGCTTGAAGCCGTTCCCCTTGATTCCTAGTTTACCGAGTGCTTTTACCGTGAAGGAAGGTTGGGTTTTGTCAGTACCTTCTCTGGGCCACCTTTCCATTTTAGATTCAGACTTTACTAGTAAGTTCTGTTTACAAAATGATACGATTAAGCCTACTGGATGGTCATTAGATAGTAATAAAAATACTACCAAAGATAAAACTATTATATTTCTCAATTTATTACTATTCCTGGTATATTGATATTTATATCTTTTAATTGTATACGTTTTTTTAACAAGAATAAAAATCCAAGTAACAATCAGCCGTTGTTTCCAAGACTAGAGAGTCAGAATCCTTAGGTTAGGAGCCCAGGAACGTGTAGTTCGATTCACCGAGGCTGGAAACCACCTGAGATTTAAACCCCCCCGAGGACAGCTGCCTTTTGATGGATTTGAAAGTCACACAAAAGGGAGGGAAACGGCCTGTATTTTGTCAAGGGTGATCCATTCTGCAAGTCTCCAATCCTAGCTCAGCGGCCACATCGTCTTCTTGGATCCTGGAAGAACCCATCTGACCTGAATCCGACTTGTTTTGGGACAGGCTGACCTGATCACATGCACAGAAGCTCAGACTTTTGCACTCGGCAGTCGCAGGTTCGATGATGGTCGCTGGCAGGACGGGGCACGTAAACGAGCAGCGCTGATGCACACCCGGTCCATTTTTACATGAGTTCTCACTCGTGTTGTGGGGAAAGCAGTGGTCACGGTTTCAGGTCATAAAACCACTATAAAGAGTAAAGCATCATCATCACCCTGGCTATTATTAAGAAATCATTATTACTCTGAAGGCTCTGGTTCAAGAAAAAAAATAAAAAATTATGTTTTTATCAAGTTTTTGTTGGACTTTTTCATTTAAGACAAAAGTCACACCGGGTTTTAGTTGAGTCACTCGGAGGCTGGGAATCAGATGTAGACTTTCTGTTCTGTTGCTTCCAAAGCTCTGGTGTAGACCTAGTGCCGTTCTCTCTGCGTCGAGCATGGACTTCTAGCCTTGGAGGAGAAAACAGGCACCTGGATTTCACTGGCCAATGTTTCTTAAGGCCATCAGGAGGTTCCATATGACTTGTGAGGAAATATCTGCTCCGTTTTTAGTTTTTTCTTCTCTTTCTTGTCCCCACCACGTGTTGTCCTTCTTGGGTCTCAGAAAGCAGGACTCCCTAGGCAAATGTTATAGTTCTGAAACACTGGTAGCTTCTAGTCATGATTTTTGGTCGTGTGCTTCAACCTTGGTTCCATAATTGTGTTTCTGCATTTATACAAAATGTCAGCAAGCTCTGTGTGAGCTTGGGTTTGGAAATGGCGGCCAGTTAAAGCACATCTCCTTTATTTCAAAGAAAAAGTTTCAAACTATTAAATTTAACTAACAGGTTCAGTGGGAACCTTCCGGATGTTTGACCCTGCACATTGTGAGATATGCACGGCTTGTATTTAAAAAAAAAAAATGGTTTAGCACTTGTTTACAATACAGCATGAGGTATTTTCAGCCCTTGTATAGAAATTAACCAGGATCGTTAGTTAATTAACACCTCACCTTAAAATTGGTCTCGCCTTGCATATTAGGTGATGATATTTCTTGATGGATGATGAAGAGATTGCGAGCAAAGGTCATGAGGACCCCCTGGAGATCCTCGCCGATTGTTCTGTTAATGATATCCAAACAAATGAGTTTACCAATGATTCCCCTCACATGCTTAAAACAATCACCCTCTCATTTGTGCCTGTCTGGTGATGGAATTTAATGAGTATTTTCAATCTCACAAGGTGGCAATCTTCAGGGAGATATGAAAGATGAGGCTCCATTTTAACTTGTCAACAAAAAGGATTTGTGTAATAAATATTTTTTATTAATCAACTTAGCAGAATATAGCAATAGGTTCAGTCATTTCTAGCAAAAGGCAGCACCGAGCTAGGACAGCAGTATCAGCTCATTTTAAAACTGGTTTCATAGCGTAAGAGAATGGCTGCTATGAGCTATGCAGGCCTCCCCATCCCCCGGTCTGCAGCGACCTGGCACCTCTCAGCCCGGAGACTGTTGCCTGGGGTCTGTTTTCTACGTCATGTGTCCATGTGGCTCCCACCCCTGTTTGAAGAGAATGTAGCTCATATGAATAGCTCTCTTTGTAAATCTAAACACCCCTCAGGAAGATCTCAGAGACAACTTCCATCCTGTAGAACGATCCTGTGGTCAGTGACCATTCCCTAAAATTGTTGTCAATTTTAACACGGAAATAAGATTCAGGTATTTTTCTAGCTATTTTTTAAAATTGGTTTTTGGTCATCAGACTATCTAAGTCTTACATTGAAATATGTATATATATTGCCCTTAAGGCAATTCATGGAAATGATTTCTTTCCTGCTGCAGCCCGTCATGTAGCTGTGACGGCTTGGCCTGTGGGGGAGTAGCTGCTTTCCGTTGGACGGGGTGGGAGTGGAAAGCTTTCCTGGCTCTACGACAGGAGCCCCGCTCTCTTTGTCCTGAGAATGACGAAGTGCGTGGCTTTGGGGAGGTTACTGAAGTATGGAAAGGAAGAAAGTCCACACGATCAGGGTTTCCATCTCCCTCACTCCAGGACTGCTCACTCCCACCCCTTAGAACCGCTGAACTCGTCACTAAAAAATAAATAAAAGTCATGGCCAACAGAAATTTCAGAGTCAGGTTATCCTTTCGTGGTTTGCATTTATTGCCACCGGCCAATATGTATTGGAACTTGGGCGCAGCTTCAAAGAGTTCCACCCTAGAGCAACAAAATCAGAATCTTTAGGTTAGGAGCCCGAGAACGTGTAGTTTCAGATTCACCAAGCTCCTCAAGTGATTCTTACATACATTAAAATGGAGACTCCTACAATGTTACATATATATATACGTTTAAATACACAAGTATGTCTTCCAGGTTGAGCACACACCCATGTGGGCCCCTCTCATCATCCCTACCCCTCTCTCCAACCCTTCCGTTACCTTCTGGGGTCCATCCTCCTCGGGCTGGGAACCCTAAGAGCTCTAAGACTCTTTCCCTGTTCATTCATTTTGAGAATTCCCTTCATTTTCCCATCCTTGAACCTCCTCCTCAGCCCCATTCTTCCTAAAGAAATAGCCCTGGGTAAAGGAAGTTGGTAGGAAGTCATTCCTGCAAAGCCAACCCGCAAAACCCTCTGGGCGCCCTGAAGAGATGAGCCCCCAACTCTTCTCACCTGACCTGACCAAACAGTGACGCCCAGCCCAAATCAGCACAGCTGCCAGAGCTCGGAGCCTGTGCCTGCGCTGAGGAGGGGCCACAGACGGGCCCTTCAGGAGAATGTGGTGGAAGGCAGCCGAGAATTTTTTGGAGCCTGTCAGAATGGCAACATCTTTTTGCTGACGGATTCCATCTCATGAAAAAATCTCCCATTTAACATTCCAGAGAAAATTAAGCCACGTGCAACATGAAAGTTTGATTTTGTTCATGTTTTTTTCCACATGAGTTTAAGGGAATATGGACGGTTTCCTGGTCCACTGTCCATTAACTCAGCTCTTCCAAATCGTCTGGGGTCATGCTCTCCTGTCATTCCTGACGCACTATCCCGAATTCCACCTTTAGTCTCCCATTCAAGAAGGCGTAAGCAGCCGCAAGTAAGAATTACAGGGATAATCCCGAGTGTAATCCAGTGGTTCTCAACTTCCCTTTAATACAGTTCCTCTTGTGGTGGTGACCCCCCACCAAACAAAAACTATTTTCATTGCTACTTCATCACTGTCATTTTGCTACTGTTATGAATCGGGTGACCCCTGTGAAAGGGTCATTCGACTCCCGAAGGGATTGCGACCCACAGGTTGAGAATCACTGGTCTAATCTAATATTTAGACACGATAAATTTGCAAGGTCACAGGGCGCAACAGCCTACAAATCTCTGTATTATATAACTGAGTCCCTACACAGGATGGCCACCCCATCTAGACTTAGTAGTGCAGCGAAAGAGCGCTGGATTCCGGACCAGGGGGAGAGAGAACCCATCCTTTGACGCAGGCAAAGCACCTCCCATCTCTGAGCTTCAGTTTCCTTATTTATGTCATCAGAGGAGTTCCATCCCTGGCTCCTTCCCATCTCTTAGCATTCTCTGGATCTATGCCTGCTGCAGTAAAACTCACTCACTGCCAGTAAGTGGATTCTGACTCACACTGATCCCATAGAACAGTGTAGAACTGCCCTGTTGGATTTTCCCAGACGGTAACTACCATGTCTTTCTCCTGAGTGATGGCTGGTGGTTTTGAGATGCTGCAAAGTCAGCAGCCCAGTGCACAGCCCACCACGCCAAGGGGTCGGAATAATATGGGACATAGAGCAGCAGACAGGACTCGGGACTCTCTCAGGAGGCCATGTCAGCATTCCCCCTCCGCAGGCGTGTGGGTAGCAGCAACCCCTTAGAAACGACACCGCTAGGACTAGTTCCACCACCGAAACTAGCCTGCAGGTCAAGACATCCTGGTTTGGAATCTCAAGTGCAGGTGTCGGGACAGCTGGGGGAGTTCCTCTCGGCTACCAGGCTAATTATTCATTCTGTAGGCTTTAGCATCCAATCAATCTTGCTATTAGGCGGTTTGATGAAATGTTCATAAAACAGTCTCTCTGATCTCATAAATCCGGTGACAGTTTTCCTCATGCCAGCTTCTTCTATGCCTGAGTAACCACCACCCCCCCGGGGCCTCTGCCCAGTTAGCACTCCCTGGTCTCATTCTCTCAATTCTGGGACACATGTCCTGCTGCTGAGTGCCGACCACTGCTGGGCTCTGTCACCCACTGGGCTTTCCTCAGGTCACCCCGGCCCTGTTTGAGCCGAGAGCTCCGCTGGATCTCCCATGGTTATGCTCCCAGCTCTCAGGACTCTGAGTGCTGATGTTGAGACTGGGTGGTTCCCAAGCTGACCTCCAGGTGTCCTGACATCCTGCCTGGCCACTCTTCTTCTGTCTCCTGCAGGGAGCGCATGCTCTCCGAGCACATCCCAAGTGCAGCAGGAGTGCTCTTCCTCTGGTTCCCAGCGAGTCCTTTGTCTTTCATGCCAGCCTGTGCCTGATACGTGACAGTTCACATCTGTGTGTTCTGATGTCTGGCTCTTGTTCTTGACTAACTGATCAGTCTGAATTCCCGAGTTCAGTAATCTCCTTGGCGCTCACCACTTTAGGAAATACAAATGTCTTATACACTCGCCTGCCAACTTCATATCTTGGTTCTCCTAAGGCCCTCCTAGTCTTTGCATGTGTGTCTCAGGGCAAGGCCACGAGGCACTGCATGACTGAGGGTGTTAGGAGGAAGAGAAATGGAGGGCAAGAATGGTGGCCTGGTCAACTAGGGTGACTTAGAGGCACCAAAGAAATCTCTTCCAAGATTCCTAATAACGACGTAATCCAAGGTTGTGACTCTGAGATTCTGAGGCCCAGATACAGAAACAACTGTGCTAGCGCTCCATTGTGCCCTAGGGAGAAATTTTCAGGTAGCCAAAACTCCAAACCAAACTCACTGCCATTGAGTCAATTTCAACTCAAAGCGGCCCTACAAGGACAGGGTAGAACTGTCTCTGTGAGTTTCTGAGACTGTAACTATGGGAGGAGAAGGCTGCCTTTCCCCCCTAGGGTGACCGGTGGTTTTGAACTGCGGACCTTGCAGTTTGCTGCCCAACTCATAACCACTACACCACCAGGGCTCCCCCAAGCAGGTACAGGGAGGTGAAAAGAAGTCTCCTGATTGTAGCCTGGTTGCCTGGAAGACTCTTCCCAGCCTAGACAACCCCTCAGAAGATGGTAGCAGAGCCGAAATTGGACCTGAGGAGGGGGGACACACCCTGCCATTTTGGAGGACATCTTGTCAAGTTACCAGAACACTTCTGGCATGTCGGCATGGCAACTGTGCCTCCACAATGAGCCTGTCTGGGCTGGCTCCTCATCAGGCAGATTGGCTGTGGCATATGTATATGCACTTGGATGTAATTTGTTGCTAAAATAACATATGACATCGGACCCATTAATTTTGGGTCATTAACCAATTGTATTCAATTGTGTTCACCTTCAGCTCTAAAGTCACTGCATGGGCTACTTAGAGATCTAAATAAAGTAAGACGGAATTCCAATAAACCAGGATGTTGATTAAACAGCACGAGATACAGCATTCTGGCTGGCTGTTACAGTCTAGTCCATGAGCTCATTCCATGTCACAGAAGCACTTCATACTCACAACATTCCCAGCCTGCTCCGATTTAGGTGCTCAAACAATACAAAGACGGTTCCTTGTCGGTCCTGTAAAATTGAATGGGGAGAAAAGAATAAGCATTTGATCTCAGAAACAACATAAAGGAACTGTATTCTATTAAGACCTCCAGAATCCTTTTTGGAATTACATTCTTGAGCTACCTTTATATATGGCGAGGAGCACAATGGGCAGGGCTGTCCCCAGAATGTGGAATAGATGTGTTCTAGGACAGTGTATTTTTTTGAAGTCTGATCCTTAGAACACTTGCATCAGAATCATCTAAGGTGCTCGTTAAGAAGGTGTTTTCGTGCGCATGATCTAAGCTCAACATCTCCAGAAGGGAATATTTTAGCTCACTTCTGAGGGGGATTCTCATGCACCACAAATTTGAAAACCACTGCTTTAGGGGCAATGGGTAAAATAAAATAAAATAAACCTGGAAGCAATTTGTTATGTGGAAAATATATATACACTTGAATGGAAAACTGTGCTGTCTCTAGCACGCCCTACTGCGGCATCGGGTTCTAATTCGATGGGAGCTGTTTTGCAGCTTTGCCTGTCCGCTCTGTAAGTTGCGGGAAGCTGACCACCAGTCACTAGTGGCTGTCCAGTGGACTCTGACTCTGGTCCTCTCCTGTGTGTCCAAGAAGAGTTTGGGTTCCTCGATGACTGGTTTTTCGGGTCTTTTGAGGTGCCTCTGGGCCAACTCGATCCTCCAACCTGTTGGTGAGTCTAGCACATGAGCCATTCACACCACCTGGGGATTCCAGGTAACTGTCAAGTCCAGAGGTGCAATTGATTTCCCTTCTTTCTTCTCTTGTGGAAAAAGCAAAAGAGTTTTGCCTCCCTTCATTTCAATACTCTTGGTCTATAAGGATATCTGGCTTTTGAATTATCTTTAAACCCGTCTGGCTCCTTCTATTAAATAAAATCTTCATTAGGCATTTATTTTTGTATTTGTAGGAGAGGCATGATTTTTATTTTTCTGAAAATGATCTCTTACTAGCTTTCTCAAGTTAAAATATGTTAACACTGAAGTTGTCCAGCAGAGGAAATGGCTGCTGTGACGCTGCCAGCTCCTCCTCACGGGAAGTCTGGAAAGAAGATTATCTTTGGGGAGCAGCCCTGGTGGTGTAGTGGGCTAAGCATTGAGCTCCTAACGACAAGGCCCTGGGTTTGAACCCACCAGTTGCTCTGCAACCGCAGAGGCACTTCTGCTTTCTCCTATAGGGTCCTTATGAATCAGGGTTGGCTTGATGGCAGTGAGCTGTTTGGGGTTTTATCTTTTGTGGATGGTAAGAGAAATTATCTATCAGAAGGATGACTGCCTATCAGCTCCTCACTTTACCAGAACATGAGAGCGTTAGGTGAGACTCCACTAGACCAGTGGCTCTCAATGTTGGCTGCTCATGAGAATCTCCTGGGAGCTTTTCAAAAAACATAATGTCTGGCCTCTACCTCTGGAAAGACTAATTGGTCTGGAGTTGCCCTTGGGCACAAAGCCATAGCAAGGCATATTAGAACCTGAGGCAAAGGGGGAGGGTGGCGAGGCAGAACCAGTAATACTGATCCTGTTCTTATCAGAAAATGTCTTTTCATCAACTTTAGGAATTTCTGAGCCAGTGTTTTTTAAAAACTGTTCTCTCCTCTCTGGGTATACAAATTGTATTAACGGTACACTTTTTTAAAAAAATCAGTGTTCAATATATCACTTAAGTCTCCTTCTATAAGTACATTGTCTTCTACCTCTGTGCATAAGTCTGAATATTTCGACTGCTCTCCCACTTCACTAATTGTTCTGCTGATCATCTATCAGATTGCTATATTAGATTTTCAGTTTTGGCTAAAATGATTGGAATTCAGAAAGTTCCATTTGATTCTTTGTGTGAAATAAGTTCTAGGTCTCTGGTAAAACAATACATTTTTTTCCTTGCACACATTAACCCTAGTTATCTTAAAGCCCCTCTTCGATAACTCCAGTATTTCAATTACCTGTGGGTATTTTTCAATTTTTTTCTTTGTTATTTGGCCCTGCCTTTTAGAATGCCTTGTAATTTTTTTATTGGATGCTGGTGACTGAAGATTGAATATTATAGAAGCCTAATGATGCTATCTTCCTTCAAAGAGGGTTACGGTTTCTAGTGGCAGGTAGATAGAGTACTGGCAGCTCATTGTGGTCCCTTAAAGGTTAACTTTAGATGTTAGGGCAGGTCTGTTTAAATTTTATCTTCTACCTTTGGTTTGGTTGTTTTTCCTAGGGAAAGGATCTTACTTCTAGAGCTTGGTCCTTTTGAAATCTCCATAAACAGTCTGTTACTAATTTTTTTTTAAATAACGGCCTTATGCTTGCGTACATATTTAAATGTTTTATATATGTAGGACCATACAATATTTATTTTTAAATTTTATTTCACTCAGCATTATTTTTTCAAGGTTCCTTCATCTTATAGCATGTATCCAAACTGTATTGTTTTATGGCTGTATACTAATCCATCATATATAGATTATAGTTTATTTATCCATTTATCCGTTGACACTTGGGTTGCTACTACTTTTTAGCTATTGTGAACAATGCTGTCATGAACACTGATATGCGTGTATCTGTTTACATCCCTGCTTTCAAGGACCTTGGGCATATACCCAGAAGTAGAATTGTCGAGCCCTACCGTAAGTCTAGTGGCGGGCACCAATCGTACAGTGATACAACTATCCCTGTCCCTGTGGGAGACTTGGCTCAATCCCTGGCCAGTGCACCTTATTTACAGCCACCACCTGTCTATCAGCTTCTAAGTTGCTCTGATGCTGAGCAGGTTTGAAGAACCAGGAAGGAAGGTGATCTACTGCTAAAAGTTGGCCAATCACAAAGGTCAGGCCCCCCTCCTGCCATGAGGCTGGTGTCCGACCAGACCGGGTTTCTCTCTGTTGTGTCTTGGGTCACTATGAGTTGGGACAAGCTGATAGCCCGTGACAGCAACATTTAGCTCTGTTTAACTTTCTGAGGAACTGACAAATATTGTCCAAAGCTCTACCATTTTGCATTGGTACCAGAAATGAACAAAGGTTCCAATTTCTTTCTGGTTTGTGGTAATGATAGTCTCTTTTCATTAAGATGAATCATTTCTTTTGTCAGTTGAAATATCAGAATTTCTTTTGCTTCTTATCTCTTTTATTGCGTTCAGTTACAAGTTCTTTTCTGGATATACTTCTAAGATTGTCTATGGTTTCTTCTTCTTCTCTCTCTCTCCTAATTTTATGAATCTGGAGCTGTTCAAGCTTATGTATAATGGCTATAGCATTTGTCTCCTTCCCCCGAGCTTATCTTTCCAAATGAAAAGCATTTTAGATGCAATCATCTTTGTTGAATCTTAACTCTGAGATTCTTTAATCCATTCAAAGGCTTTACAAGTATGATATAGTCATACTTTTAAAACTTGACCCTGACTGTAAGACTGAATTTCCACTGTTTTTTGTTGTG